AATTATATTTTCTCAAAATTTTGAATTAATATGTTACAGTAGTTGTAAAGTGACTTTCGTTTATATAAAAATTTGATTATATATGTTTTGCATACATGTTTTTTTTTTAAATTCAAAGCCACCCAGTGTGGGTGGGGGGTTTGGTAGGACCTCTACCTGTATATATAATTAAAAGGAAAAAGGTACAAAGAAGGAGGACAAAGAGCCAAGCCTCTAGAAGTACAAAGTGGGACGAAGAAAGTCAAAACAAAAGCAAGGTGATGACTCACCACCAAAAACATGAAAAATAAATAAACAGAAAAATAAAGTAGGGACTCCCCACAAAACAAAACAACTGAGAACATAAATGAAAATAAAAAACTCATTGACGAACATGAGGAGTCTGTTGAGTGTCCAAGGCGAGGATGCCAGCAATCCTATAAGGAAGGGATGGCGAATCAGGAAATCGCTGATTGAGTTGTTGAGAGTAAGCCCAATTAGCCATGAAGTCTGCAGCCTAATTTGCCTCTCACAAGACGTGGCAGACTCGAGCTGAGAGAAAAGCACACAGAAGCCGAATCTGAGCAAGCAGGTAGCATAAATCCAACACCCAGTACCCCAAGAAGAAACCCCAAAAACCACTATTGCTTGCTGAATCTGACTCCACTACCAACTCTGAAGTTCTCAAATCTGCGGCCAACTCCAACCCAACACAAACAGCCTGTAACTTTGCATACAAAATAGGCTGATGCCCCAGAAATATTATGTTCTGCATACATATTGAACAATATTAATTTAATCATTGTATTGTTCATATTGTATTATATATTATCTTTATTTATCAACAAATATTTGTATTTTTTTACAAGTAATATAGTGTCTTCAAGTACCGGATAATTACTAGTACATATATATAACAATATAAGTAAGATTCAGTGGAGAGAAAGAGACAGATAGAAGTTTGAGTTGTCGCTTGAGTTAGAGGAGTTGCCAGAGGGGATCGAGCAGAGGAGTTGTCACCTGAGCCATTTGTTGTTCATCGCTTGAAGAAGAGGAAGACCGAAGCACTTTGGGTGGAATTGATTTAGGGCAAAATTGCCCAAAAAATGAAGGGAGGAGATTCCAGCCTTCAAGTCACCTGAGTTAGAGAGACAGAGTGGTTGTTCGTGGCGTAACTCAAATTTCCAACCGTCCAATTTACAAAATCCGTCCACGGCTCTTGTCTAAAATCGGCCGGTTTCACGATTCTTAGGTAGTTTGATTCCTTAAACGGTCAAATTAAAGAATTGAATGGTTTTAGGTCCTGACTCACAGTTTAACTGGTCTGATCAGCCAATTCGGTCCAATCTAGTTTGATAACACTGTTTAGAAGTTCTAAAAAAAAAACAAAAATCAAATTTTCACTACTAAAGCTTAAAAGTTTATTATCTATAATTTACCCTCTCCTCTCTTTATCCTTCCTTGATTGATCATATGCACATTTTTTCTCGTAAGAACTATATGCACATCTTTATTCATATAATAGTTACTTAAAAAGCATAGGTGTGCACACTGTTTTAAGAGAATCAAGCTATGGATCTATGATGGAGAACATAACCAATAAACTAAAGTTACGAAGAAATAGAGCATTCTTTCTTGTGAACTTTCCCTTTCTTGAATAAGTTCATTCAAATAAAATGGTTCTCGGGTAGATCTAGTATTGAATCATGAAACATTCTCATAAATATTTTGAAAGATGGGCTCGAGACTTAGAGAACATCACCGCAAAAATATTAATGGATCACCAAGTGAAACAACCCAAAAGGTATATCATCTTGTAGTGCTAATTTGAAGTTGGTCACTTTAACAGGATGCCTAGTCTTTTTGTTAAAAGGGTATTTATGACTTTTGACTACTTGCTTAATTACTGATCTAGTGGCGAGAAAGAGAACCCTATTTAATTCTCAGGTTCAAGCACTAAACAAGTGTCATTTTTAGATATTGTGTTTGTGATGTGATGATAGATATCATATTACCTATTAGATAAGGATAGTTAATGAAACAAATAGGAGCTTGGGGGCTTAGTTCTGACTAGAGATGGTAGTGGACCGGAGAAAAATGGGTATTCGTCCAAATTCGCTCTGTTTGGACCGGAGATGGACTATATGTATTAGACAGTGGACGTATACAGAGATATCCGTATAAACCTGTATGGGGATGAAGGCGGGGATGAACCTATCCTTACCCCCGCCC